CTCTTATACACATCTAGATGTGTATAAGAGACAGGGGGATGGGAGGGGGGTGGGGGGCGCTCCACCCTAGTTAGTACCTTTTTTCTTTTCTTTCTTTTCTTTGTCAGAACATCTTCACTGCCTGCTCCTGAGCCCCGTGGAGAACAACAACAAATAAATAATATATGATTACTATCAACGATCATGGGTCTTGAACCCCCAAGCCCCCACCCACCCCCCTCTGATCCTACAAAATCCATCAATATGGGTCTGGTGGACCCCTCCCCTGGTCCCGCACATTCATCAAGGGCCTCAAAGAATCCCCCCATCAGTCCCACAATTCATCATGGATCTGGTCAACCCCCCCCACCTATAAGTACCTTTGCATAGTACATGGAATCAAAGCAAAGAACGGGAAAAAAAATAAATGAAAAATGAGAACGTCTTCTCTCCTTTCTTAAAAAATATTTTCTGGTGTGTGTGTTTGCATGACATTGGGCGTGTGTTGTCATGTCCACTGTTCCAGAATTCGATCTAGTCGAAATCGCTATGGTCAGCCTCCGGGAAAGCTTCTCGTCCTGGAGGACGTCTTATAAACGTGCAAAGACAGGTACGTGGGTGTGTGTGTGTGTGTGTGTGTGTGTGTGTGTGTGTGTGTGTGTGCCATGAGGATTATGAAGGGATAGCTCATACGGGTTTTTGAACGCTGCCCTTCAGCACAAGAAGTACTCTAAAACCACCCCTCAAGTGGGAACGGACTCTACTAAGCTTATGCTACTCCTTGGTACACCACAAAGACAAGAATAGTACAAGATAGGAAAAAACACCAGACAAAAAGAGCCATGCAAAAAGCAGCGAGGGAACGGGGGCGGGGTGGGAGGGGCAAACAGCACACAACGGCGCAAGACAAAGGAACGACAATTACAACCAAAAAATAAAGTCTGAGCGCCGCGGACCCGATTTTACCCGCTTTTTCCTGAATTCAATAATAGGAAAAATAAAATAAAAAATGGGGTTGTAGGGAATTTTAATCCCTACAACCCTTCTTTTTTTTTTTTTGGGAAACAGATAATTTTTTAGAAAAAAAAAAATAAAAAACAGAAAAGGTGGAGAAAAATTCAAAAAACAAAATTAAAAAAAAAGCTTTTTTTGGGGGCGAGGATTTTTGGTTGGCAGTTCTTTGTATTCTTCTTTTTCTCGTTTTTTTGTGTCCTAACGAGACAATCAAGGAATGGAAGAGCCTTGCACGTGAGAGGCACAGTGGAGGTGGAGTTCAAAGAAGAATGAGAAATTTAATGGTTTCAATCTGCCCTTGTTTTTTCTTTTTGTTTTTATTTTTGCATGTTATCACTGTGCCCG